GTCTCTGGCAAGTCTAGAGAGATACCCAATATCTGAACTTAGATTTCTGGTCCATAATTTGAGAAGCCATGCTTTGGGAGTCTGGTTCTTTGGAAAGAGCTTTTAACACTGCCACTTTAACCAGCAGAGTAGGAGCACACACTTGCTAAAAGGCTCATTGTATTTCCGCCAATCTGGGGTTTTCAAAAGTAAAATATGGGAGCAGGTAAGGGTTGGCAGGGGGGATGGTAGATGCTGAAGAATAAATAGGTCCCTAGCATCGATGCCTCCAGCCAGATTTATGATGGGGCCACATTGCACAAGAATGAGTCCGTTTCCATAAATCTGTTTCTCCTGGTTGCTGGACAGAGCTGAGTAGTTGCTGTGTTGAATGGAAGAGAGGCTGTGCCTGGGTTCAGGGTCGGTCCAGCTGGTTTTCAACTCTTATCCCTCAGTGGAGCCTCCCCAGGCCTGTACTCCTGCACTGGGGCTCAGCACTGGGGGAGGACATGAGGTGGGCATCTTCTCATTTAACTAGACTGTGCCTTTCCTCTCTGCAACCCCACAGCCCAACACAGAACCTGACACAGAATAGGAGGGCTTAAGTGAATATCTGTTGAACAAATGATTTAATTAGTGAATCCACAAAGATCTCCCATGGATCTTGCCGGGAAGGGAGACTTTCTTCACTTGTGAGTCTGCCCCTTTCCATTCCTCAAAAGCATAACACATTTATCAAGCACTTACTGGTTGCCAGACACTGTACTGGATACTTGTGCCTGTATTATCTTTTCTAAACTTCACAACAACCCTATAAGGTAGGTATTATTCCCATTTTACGGATGAAAAATCTGGGGATTGTGATTATGTAAGGTCTAAGGTCTAACAACTACTAAGTGTCAGGTCAGGTTAAATTCAAGTCCACCTGTCTTCAAAGCTTGTGATCTGCTCTGCAGCACTTTGCTCAGAGGGAGAGTCCGTGCTCACCTGGAATCACTGAACTGACAAAGAGACACCATGGCAAGTCTTTGAGGAAAGAACCAACCCTGCAGCCTGAGCCATCACGTGCAAATCTTTAATTGATGCAGCCAGAGCCTAGCTGAGATTCTCCCCAGCTACTCCACCACACTAGGAAAATGGGTTTGCATCAGATCGCCAGCCCTGAGGAGATCAGCTGGGCAGGGTCTTCGAAAGCTAGTGATGGGGACCAAAGCAAAGGCAGTAGTGTGCTGAGCACATAACAGCTTAGCCATGAAGTGGGATGACTAGAGTTGCAGGCTCTGTGCAGGAGGGCTGGTTATTGAAAATGGATTTTCTCAGCCAATGAGAATATCTGCTTGGGACTATTCACTTTTAAGCCTAATTGAAAATAGTCCCAGGTCAAATTCTATCTGGAAAGTTGGCCTTTGAGTCCCAAAGTGATACTTTAAATAAGTGTAGTAAGCTCTGAAGGGAGCTGGCATGCCTGAAACTGACATTTACTATATGCCGGATCTGTCTTGAAAATTCTAGGGTCCTATGGTTCTATTTGTTGTTTTAGGGGAGAAAGGCCATTAGTTGGATATTTCCTTCTCCATGTAAGTAAAAGGAACATTATTCTGTCTTTTCAAATCTATAAGACAAATCCTGGCTGGGAGACCTTGATTCTGAGATCTAACTTCCAGAATCTACTTGTTTAGTATCTGACTTTTCCCATTATCAGTGTAGGCGATGTGGTCGAGATGTGGGCAGAGCCCTGGTCTGCAAGTCACAGCCCTAGAGCTCGGTCTGGACTCTAGCACTAATTGACTAGGTGATCCTGGATCTTGTCTGGCTTTCAGCGCTAGACTTGACAAGCTCTAAGAACACCAAATAACCACTATGGCCTCATGCTTCCTGAAGCTAGTGAAGGGTCACCCTTCACTAAGCATAGCCCTTGTAACTACAGATACTGAAAGGGGGAGCAATCTTGATCCCTCAGTGGGCAGGCCTTGGGGCTTTGGGAAGATCCAAAGAGAGGGAACTGATGCAAGATGCTACAACCTCAGAGTCAGAGAGGGAAATGACGCTTATCTTAATGAGCAGCTCAGCTGGAGGGGCTCTAATGGCCTGGGGTGAGAGTGGGAGGCAGGGGGTGACATCTCAGCTACAGGAGCCTGGCAAGCGAGGTGACTGCTATTTGCTCATTCCAGGTGCTGTACAGTGTGTCCAACCATTGTGGGGTCTGTTGTGGGCAGGTGGAGGGCAGGCTGCTGAGCCGGGCTGAGCTGGGTGTGCAGCAGGTGCAGAAACTGGAGCTCCAGAGCCCTCTCAGTAGGATGGCTTTTTAGTTCTTGAACAATTTCCTCACCTTAATTGGCTCTCTAGGGCCCTGGGGGTAGCACTGGCACCTCAGAACAGTCCCCGTTACTGGGAGAGTAGTTCCCCTGGTAATGGGAAGGAGGCAGGCTGTGTTTAGGGGGATGTACTTGCTGCTGCCAGTACTACTTGGAAGGCTAAAGCTAGAATAGATTTACTGAGGGAGAGAGTTTGAAATAGCTGTGATGGATGGATGGGGTCTTGGAGGGGCCTTTTATCTGCTGGAACTCTCTCATTCAAGGGGGACCAGTCATGGTTGACTGCTGTGGAGGCCTGAGAGCAAGAAAGGCCTTTGGAGCTTATCTCTAACCCTTCACGCATAAATGGGGCATCAGGAGTCCAGAAAGGGCTAGAATCCTGCTGATTGTCACATAATTGATCACTCACAGAGTCAGATAAAAAAAAATCCAGCTCCTTTGCCTGCCAGTCCAGGACTTGCCTGGGTTTGAAGGCCAGCAGGACCTGCAGACCTAGAGTCTTGGTGCCCTACTGTCTCTCTCTCTGCAGGCCCAGTTGGAAATGGGGTCAGTGGCTTTGCGTGGAGGGTGGCAGTCCATCAGTCCCTGGATTGAGTCTTGAGATTTGAAGTGAAGAGATAGAGGTACCACTCCATCAGATGAAATGAGCCTGGACTCATCCTCCCTGTACCTTCCGCATTCCACTGTGGTACTTTCTTGGCACAGAAAGCTTGTTTTACAGTTGGGTCGTTCCTAGGAGCAGGGGCTCTGAAGGTTGTGGACCATCCATCTCCAGCCTCAGTCTGTCGCCTAGCTCTCATGCCCAGATTCTGACTCTTGGCTCAGATCTGCTGCCTGGCCCTGCCCCACAGTCCCTGGATCTCCCTGCCTGACCTCACTTGAGGTATTGCCTCTGTGGGTTATACTCCCAAATCCTCTGGCTTCAACCCTGATCACTCCTATTCTGGGCTTGCATTTCTAGCTACCTAAAAGGCTCCCAATTGCTTGTAGTTCAGAACAGAAACTTGGCATGGCCTTCAAGGCTCTTCCCAGTCTGAACTCAACCTAATTTTAGAGCCTCATCTCCTGTTGTTCCTTTACATGTACTAGCTTTACCAGTCTTTCCTTGAGAGATCTCACATTTTGATATATGTAATCATCTGTTTATGATGTTCCTTCCTCCTAAAATGCCCTTTCCTTGTTAGTAACATCCTGCCCAAAACTGAAGGTCCAACTCAGATGTGACCCAGTTATCGAAACTAGAGCACACAAGGATGGGGGTTGACTAGGAAACAAGCAGGATCCCCATTACCAGAACTGAATTCCAAAGAGTGAGGCTAGAATAATTTAGGTAGTTGCTGCTTTAGGCTAAGGATCAGCAAACTTTTTCTGTAAAGGGCTAGATAGTAAATATTTTTGGCTTTGCGGGCCACACAGGCTCTGCTATAGCTATTCAACTCTGCCATTGCAGCACAAAAGCATCCATAGACAATGTGGAAATGAATGGGCATGACTGTGTTCCAATAAAACTTTATTTACAAAAATAGGCAGGCTGTAGTTTTCTGACGCCTGTTTTAGGCTCTGTCTGGGGATATTGGGTAGGTTTGAACCTGTGGGTGGCATCAAGTAAGAATAGCTGTGCAGGAGCCAAGCAGGGCCAGAAAATATGGAAGGGAATCGCAGGTAGGGAATAGCGTTAGGATGAGGCACATGGAGGAGAGAGCAGGAGGAACAGGATGGAGTTAAATTTGGCTGGAATAAGCGATTGCTTGAAGGAAAGAAATGGGAACTCTGGAAAGGAAATTTAGGGCCAAATTGTGAAGGGCCTCGACTAATTTAAGCTATTCTGTAGACAGTGGGGAGCCATTGAAAGTTATTGGTCAGTGGAATATGATCAAATCTGTATTTTAAAAAAGTCATTCTGGCTCAGTGAGAAGAGTGATTGATTGGACGAGACAGGACCGGATGCAGGAAGACCTGCTGGGAGGCTACTGCAATTGTCCAGGCCATTGGTTCCAGATTACTGGCCCTTGAACCAGTGCTGGTCTGGATGCCTAAGAATTATTTGGGAAACTTGCTAGAATTATAGATTCCTGGTCCTATACCCACACCCAAGAGATTTGGATTTAGTAGACTCAGGATTTCTAACAAACCCTCCCAATTTGAGAATCGCTGGTCCAGCGAGTCAGGATGAGGCCTGATCTTCAGGGGCTATGGATGTCAGAGAAAGTAGGACATAGGTAAGATGGGATTTGGCAACAGCCCTCTTCCTTCTCCTGTTACCTGTCACTGTTCATGATAGCCCATCCATTTGACTCTTTTTTTCTTCATACACCACCACTCCCCTCAACATCCTATTTTGGTCATGTCCTATCACCTCTCTTTGAAACAACTCTTCTGTTGTTTTCTGTTTCTATCCTCATTCAGGATCCCATTAATGCTCAACTGGACAAGGGTCCTCCATGACCCCCCTGTCTCCAGTCCATCAAGATAATCATAAAGCCCAGCTATGTCACTTTCGAGAGCCTTTTGGGGCTGCCTTTGCTTTTAGGGTAAAGATCAATCTCCTTAGCTTAGCATTCAGGGCCCTTCAGGAGCTTACTCTCCTGCCAGTCTTTCCAAGCTCATTCCCTGCCACTCCCTGTCTGTGCTTCTGAAATTTCCCTGTACTATGTGCTTTTGCAGTTATCCTGTACCTGTAGCCTTGCCCCATCTTAATGTCTTCCCTCCAACTCGACCCTGTTTTTTCTTCTCTTTTTTCTCCTGGCTTGTGTGTGACTGTCTCTCCCTGGGGGGTAGAGTTAGCTACCAAGGGACACCTCCCAGGACCTTTGTGCATCAGAAATGTGTTTCTTCTCCATCTGAAGTCCTAATCCTCCACTTGTGACGGACAATTGGTCACTATGGCAACTGACTGTGACGTCACAGGATAAGGACTTCAGGTGAAGTGGCAGGAGCAGGTGAGTGTGTAGGAAACAGATTTTAATGTCTGTCGAAGGCCCCCCCGCACACCCTCCTTCAGCGCCGGGGGCATGGAGGGATGTCTCGGGCTCCTGCTGATTTTTAAAATGATGCGGTGAGAGTGTGTGCCTGGCATCTGCGTGCTGCAGCAGTGTGGGGCTGACAGAGTGTGTCAACTTGAGCTCTGGCTGTGCAGGCACCGCTGCTGCGTGAGCCTGTTATTCCATTCTGGATTGCTATTTTGATACCCAGATTGCATCATTCTTCCTACGTATAAACAGGGGGTCCCCAGGGCCCTGCAGCTACTCACTTCTCCACCAACACTGTTGTTGTGATGAGCTCTATTTAAATGAGCTGCCGGATCGGGGCAGGTTCCAGCCATACATGAGCATTGTCATTTTGGGGAACATGGAGGGCTGAAGGATTTTTGGATCGAGTCTTAAAAGGCTGAGAGTGATGGCCTCCTGAGCTGTGCAGAGGGCGACAGAGCTAGTTCCTGAAAGTTGAAAATCTCGTTTTCTTCCTTCTGAGCTTCTATTCCAAGGCACCCAGAGGATTAGGAAGGAGATGCAGCTAGGAAGAGAGTCGCCTCTTTGAGGTCTCCCTCTTGCTGTTCAGTTTGGGAAAATTGCTGCAGAGCCTTCGAGATAAACAGGAACAGGAGGAGTCAACCAAGCCCTTTCTTGCAGGAGCATCTCAGGTGAGCTGGAGAAATGCAGTCCTGGTTGAGGATGCATCAGAGAAAGGAAAGGATCCAGGCTGCTCCCCCTTCCCCACCCAGTACCCAGCTCCCCAAGGTTTAGGCCCTGCAGCCCCAGCTGGCTGCAGCATGCAGGGCGGGTGTTCCTGGGCACTTGGTAGGCACCATCCTCTGGGACTGGTGGTGGTCTCATCTCGCACTCTTCTGACTTCTCTCCCAGGTGTTGCTGTAATCACAGGGCAGCAGGGGCCACAGGTAAGCCTGCTGGCAGCCAGGGGCAGGAGCAGCAGTCACCTTAGCATCAAAATCTGTCTTTCTAGCAGGGACTGGGCATCTGGGGAATGGGTGCAATCTGTTTCTCAAAGGTGGTGCTACTTTAAGTTATGGGCTAGAGGAAGGCTTCAGGGGCTTGTGTGGTGGGGGCCTTAGCTATGACGCCCAGTACCCTAAGGGCTGCCCTTGCGTGGGAGGACAGGAATAGTTAGTGAGGATGGCCAGCCTGCCAGAGGATACAACTAGAGTGCTTATTCTCCTTGCATAGTGACTGACAGAGGCATAGGGTGGTAGAATGTCTTACTTGTGGATACAGAGGTGATCAGGGACTACTCAGTGGTGTAAGGTACCGCCTATGTTTTACAAGCGCTCTGTGGTTTTTAGCTAAGTCCCTTGCTCTCTCTGGGCCTCCATGTCATCATCTGTATGGTGAGGCAGTTGGCTAGATAAACAATGAAAAAAGCTAGGTCTGAAAGCTAGGTCTGTCCAGCTTTGGTTCTACAGGTGAGAGCTGGCAGAGGAGCATCAGGCGGCTTCAGAGGATGCCACTGCTCTGTTGGAGTCAGAGCTTGGGCCCCAGCTACAAAGTTTCATGGACCCCTGGGCAAGGGCTGTAGAACGAAGGGCTTTTTAACCCTCAGAGTGTCGCTTAGCACTGGGGTCAGGCTTATGCACCTGGGGTGTATGTGCCCTACCTGGTGGGCTGAGCTGATTCACTGCTGGCTTTCTGAGACCTCCTTGGAATTTCTCCCCCACCCCAGCCCTCTGGTGCTCAGGATGCCTTGGAATTGCTGTTCATGTCTGAAGGGTGGACTCCCCAGTCTCAGCCCCCCTCCCTTGCTACCTCACTAAGTCCTGAGCTCAGCATGCTCTGTAGGCCTCAGCAGTAGTTGTTGTAGTGCCAGATCTCATGCTGCACCCTAAGCCTGCTCGTGGGTCCTTCAGTGGAGATGGGAGTTCAGGGAGGCAAAATGTGTCCTCTACCTCACCACCAACCCCCAGGGTACCCAGGTATCAGGACACCCTTCTGTCTGTTGGGAATCTGCCCTCTTCTCTTCTCTGCCAGAGGGGAAGTACATCACAGCTATGTTCAGAGTCTTTCTTAACTTCTTGGAGCCTCTTTACAAGTGGGTGGGCCTCCTTTCTCAGCTGGATGATACAGGGGACAGAGCTATCAGGCTCAGCCACAGGGGCAATGGGTGCTCTCTCTAAGGCTCTGGTCCTCAAACTTGGTTGTACATTATGATCACCGGGGGAATTTTTTGAAATACTGATGCCTGGATTCTACCTCCTGAAACTCTGATTTGATTGATATGGATGTGGACTGGACATCAGGAAGTTTAAAAGCACCGCATATGATTCAAATATGTAACAAGGTTTGAGAATCACTGGTCTATAGAATGAAACTGCCTCCAGATTTATTTTCTCCAGGAGAAAAACTGCTTTACTTGCCTTTTGTCAAAGATCGTATTTCTTAAAACTTTAAGCACAGGTGGGGCTAGCTCCCAGCTCCTTCTGTATTCCCAGAGTCCAAAGCAGGTCCAGGTTGTCATTATTATGGAATATTTTACTGATAATCAAATTTTCTAGTTAATTAAAATAAATTACCTTGTTTATTTACACTTGAATTAGAGAGCAATATAGCGTGATGGAAAGGGCGGGGTTTTAGAGGCAGAGATACTCGGGTTCCAGTCATAGTTCTGCCTGTGCTTTCTACCATCTTTGATGGGTGACAGCTTGGAGCCTCAGTCTCTCCAACTATGAGATGGGGGCAATGCCTACCTCTCAGAGGTAGTTCGATGATTAAATGAGATAAAACATATAGAGTGCCTGGTGCAGGGAGTGGTGGTAAAAGAACAGTCTGTTCCACGCCTCCCAGGGACCAGAAGTGCTCACTCTTATGACGGATGGACTGAACACCCTCGGCTCTCAGTGCTGCTCTCCCAGGCCCCTGGGTCCCCAGGAGGACCTCTGGTGCCTGTGACTTCTTCAGGAGGCAGAAGCCTCACCTCCTCTGGGGATGGTTGTGTGGCTTTTGGGTCCTGGCTCGACATTGCTCAGAACTGATGTTCCTGTGTATGAAATAAAAGCTCTAGGCTGTTGCTTGAATAATTCAAATAGAAAAAAAGCAATATATCTAAATAGTATTTTATGTAATATGTGACTTAATTATGTATTAATAACTAAATTAATGTTAAATATTATAAGTAGATGTTTGGTTATTTTATGTACGTCCACAGCCCTAAGAGTTCATGTATTTCAATTGTCTTACACAAAAACTTTGTTGTATCCTCATTGAAAAATGGAAAATCCTCCTAAAAAAAAAAAAGCTCAGGGTTGACTTAGCTTGATGGAGGTTAGGCACCTCTTGAAGGGAGATAAGAATTTCTGGGCAACGGTGTGGTGGCACAAAGAGAGCACAAGTCCTGTGTCCACTCTGGCCCACAGCTCCATGGGACCTGCCAGTACCACTGCCCTGGTTCTCCACCTCTGCTTTCTGCCGCAGCAGCCCCTCCTCAGATGGGATGAGCTTTTAGATCCAGGCCTCCTCTCAGCCACCAGCCTATCCCCTGACCTGCTGACAAGGGTGACAGCCAGGTCACTGTTTGGCTGTCTGTCCCTTCCCATCTAGCCCAGGGGAATATTCCTGAAGCCTGGCTGCACTAGGCAGAAGAAGAGGGTTGGATAATCCATACTTCCCTGCTATTCCCATTCCCCTCATTTTAAGGATGTAAAAAGTAAGATTCAGAGCAAGGAGGTCACTTACCTAAGGTTACATAGATAGTGCCATTCCTGGGCCTGGAACCCACACCTCCCAATTCCCAGCCTTTCCCGAGCACCACACCTCTGCTCTGGATCAGACCTGATTCTTTTATCATCCCGGGCTGGCTTTTTTTCCATCACCCTGAAAACTTCCAGATGGCTTCTTACTGCTTTCAGTGGCCGTGTGTGCAAAGAATGCACATGGAATACCCAAACCCAAAAGAAACGTAATTGTCCAGTCTGCTGAAAATCACGCAATAGCCTTTAGTACCAATTTTGAAATATTTTTGTATGCAGACATATGACCAGATAGTTAAAATGCGCTGTGGTATTTGTTATACTAGAAGGATGTTCAGGGTACTGTGGGAAGAGGGAATAACCAACTCATCCTGAGGGAAATCAACCCTGCTTCTCAAAGGTAGAACATTTGAACAGGTTTCGAAGGATGAATAGGAGATTATCTGAAAAGAGGGGAGCTAGAAAGAGTATTTCAGGGAGAGGGAACAGCACTTTTCACAAACACAGGGTTATGCAAAGGTTTGGTGTATCCGGGAGACAGCAGAGATATTTGGTATGGCAAGCACAGAGGGTGTGTGGCAGATGAAGCTAGAGATGAGACTAGAGAGATAAGCCAAGTTGGGGATTTTAGCCTTTAAGGCAGAGAGAGAGAGAGAGAGAGAGAGAGAGAGAGAGAGAGAGAGAGAGAGAGATGTGTGATGATGCCTTATCTGAGCCATTCAGTTATTTCTCTTTTTTCATGATGCTAATGAGGCTGTGTTACCATGACTAATGTTTGGGCTTGTGGTACCAGGGAGTTGAAAGCCTTGTGGAAATTATTTTCAACAATTAGAGCAGCATTTCTGACCTGGGGGTAGATGAGGAGGGTCTCCCCAGGGCGAGCCAAGTGGAAGGGAGGGACAGTCACCTGATTGCCCTGGATGATGCCTCTGTGGAGAGCATGCTTCTCCACCTATGGCCACTGTTCTACAGGCAGACGAATATCTAGAGGATTCCAGATCCAGTTCTGTCATTAAAGTCCATGGCACTGGGAAGGCTGGGGGAGGTTTTTTTTAGGGGGGGTGAGAGGAAGAAGAATATTAAACTACTATTTTGCATGATTTTGATTTTTCTTTTGCTGCATAATAAGCCACTCCAAAACTTAGTCGTTAAAACAACAATTAAACTTTATTTATGATTCGATAGGATGGCATTTTCTGAGTGGTTCTTCTGGGCTGGGCTTGGCTAATCTTGGCTGTACTCATGCCTGTGTCTGTGTTCAGCTGGTGGGTCAGTTGGGGCTAACTGGTTTATGATGGCTTCAGGTGGGACACCTGAGACAACTGAGGCCTCTCTGTGCATGGCCTCTCATCTTCCAGCAATCTAACCTGGGGTTGTTCATGGGGCAGGCTTAGAGTTCTGAGAGCAAGAGCAGAATCATGCAAAGCCACATGAGGTCTAGGCTTGGAACTTGTTCAGTGTCACTTTTGCTGCCTTCTATTGGCCAAAGCAGGTCATGAGGCCAGCCTAGCTTCAAAGTGTGGAGAATAGACTTCACGTTTTTAATGGTTAGGATTACAAGGGCATGGACGCAGGGAGGGGAAGAACGTGTGGCCATTCTTTCAATCTACCTCTCAGACTCTCTGACTTTCATAACCAGGGAGAGTTGATAATTGAGGTTATTGCCTTACCATGAATGGGATATGAGAAATCTTTTGAATTCAAAGTCAACGTTCATGGAGGATCATGTGCTTTCTCAAATATTATCTAATTTAAACCTCACAGCAACTCTTATCTTCCCTTCTTATTTTACGTATGAAGAACCTGGGGCACAGGGAGGTTAAATGAGATTAAGTGACTTGTCCAGCCAAGGTCATTGGGTGGTAAACCTGGTGTTTGGACTTAAGCTTATCTGACTGCAAGTCTAGAGCAACTACCATTGTATCATTTTGATGATATGAGACAGAGAAGACTGTGGTGGTACTGCTACCTTCACTGCTGTAGCCAGCCTCTTTCCAGGTTGTCCTCATCCCTGGGAACAGGCATCTGCCCTACTCAGGAGGCTCATTTCCTTGCGCCCAGTGGGCCAACTGCTCTTGGGGTGGGCCTGAAGAGCACTGTAGTCTCCAGGGTGGCTGTCTCATGCTGCTTATATAGTTCAAGAGCCCACTATGCTGAGGAATGTGTAGGAGACTGTTGCATTTCTCTGAGGAGAGAGGGAAGGACAAGATGTTCATGTTCACAGGTGAAACATACATATATGTGGTGCACCCAACATGGACTAGGTGGAGAAGGCCCAGGAAAAGCTCTCTGAGCTCCAGGGGCAGACCGATTGGCTGTAACGAGAGAAAAATAACTCTTAGATGAGCAGGCAGAGAGGCCTACCTTTCTCTGTCTAAGCCTCCTGGAAGCTCTAGCTTTGAGATCTTTAAGGTAATTCCGCTACGTGGTAACCTTAATGGCTGGAGCTGTGCCCTTGGCTAAACTGACCCCTAGAGCTTGGCCAGTAATGGGAGCTGGGCTCTTAGGGCTGTGGAGCAGCAGGAAGGCACCAATTATCAGAACCAGAGCAGACTGGGCCTGTAGTAGCATGGCTTGTGGGGAGGAGAGGAAAGTAGAACTAGGCAAAGAGGAGGATGTGAGGAGGTCTGTAGGGCAGAACCCTAATGGAATGGTCATGTCTAGAGTACCTAGATGGTAAGTGCAGGCTGTGGCATCAAACATAGATCATTTTGGCACCAGTGGTTTTGGCACATACCTTTTGTTGTGTATTAGAAAGCCTTGTGTCTAGGCCTTATGCTATGTATAATCTGCCGTGTTGCCCTGACTCTGCTATCTTTTCCTCCCCTCCCAGAGCTCATCTCCTGTCCTGGGTGTAAGCAAGTGTACCTTACCAGGGATGTAACTGAACTTTTTTTTCCGCTTTGCTTTTCTACTGGGCAACCCAAGATGGCCAGGGTAAGTCAGGACAAGCAAAGAAGCAGCTAATCCTTTTCAGAATTCTGTGGGGCCCCTGTCTATAAGTCTGTCTATCTACCCATCACTCCATCTAACTTGTTACCCCTCCATCAGTTTGCCTAATCATCCATCCATCCATCCATCCATCCGTCCGTCCATCCAGAGAGAATCAAAATGTTTGAGTTGGGGAAAGCAAAATGGGGATGTTTTTCTCTCCCTTCTAGCTCTTACTGAAAGATATCAGTCCTGAGCTTTTATTTCCTTCTTTCTCCCCCTGAGTTGAAACTCATTCACCAGCCTGGATTAAATAGGTTCATCAATCTTGCCTATATTTAACAACGAATATGTTTTTCCTGAGTTTCTGAAATTTCACATCACTTACTGACTGGTGCCCCATTTGTTCTGCTCTCCACTAGGATATTTTTGCCACTACATTTTATTCATTTGTCAATTTTCTTGCTTGCTCCAGTATTTACTTCTTTTTGAATGTCTGACATGTACCAGGCCCTGTGCTGGCTGCTAGGCAGACAGAGACCATGTTCTCTACCCTCAAGAAATTCATAGTTTAATTAGTAAAACTCGTATTTCTCCTCCTTTTTTCCCACTATGGTTTGTCAGTTGCCAGTATAAGGACAAAGCTATCCAGAATCCACATCAGTTTGGTGCCCTGTATTATTCAGGCACAGATAGGCTAATTTTTCCCACATCGCCTCTTCTCCACACGCGTTACATCAGCCCTGCAAGATATTTGCTGACCTAATGCATGAACATTTGGACCAGGAGAAGACTAGGTACTCTTGGGCTTGGCAAGCCCCAGACCAGGTCTTTCTTCATATCTGATCATCTTTCTTTGTCCTCCCCCAGCTGCAGCTTCCTCGTCTCTGCAGGCACGTTGAATTTTCTGCTTTTGCCTGCATTTTCCCATTTTCCTCCCTTGTCTGCCTGGTGAACTTCTACTTGTCATTCCATCTCCAACTCAAATGTCACCTGTTTATGAAACTTTCCTGCTCATCCCTAGACCGAGCTCCTGGAAACCTCCCTTGGCTTCCTTAGCACTTGGTGCATCCTTTTATCACAGCATCCCCCATTGAATGTCTGTCTCCCCATCCAGGCTGTGTGTGCCTTGAGAGCGGATCCTTGCCTTATTCATTTGGGTGTCCTCATCTTCAGCACACCACTTGTGTGAATAGCCCCTGAGGCCACTATTATTTTAGTCACAGAGGGTGCTTTCCTTCACAAGCCCCCACATGTCACTCCCAGGCAGCTCTCCAGAATTGACTGCACTCCAAAATAGTGGAGGAACAGCCCTGCAAAACCCCAGTCCCTAGAGCATTTACCACTCACAGAGGCAGGCCCAGGTGAGGATATTGTCAGTAACTCCAGAATTCTCTGCTTCCAGAGCTGCTCTGAGTGCAAGGAGAAGAGGGCAGCACACATCCTCTGTACCTACTGCAACCGCTGGCTGTGCAGCTCCTGCACGGAGGAGCATCGGCATGGTCCTGCCCCTGGCAGCCCGCTCTTTCCCCGGGCCCAGAAGGGATCTCCAGGTATCACTCCCTGCTCTCCCCACCAGCTCACATGCCCTTAAGTGCTGAACCCTAAAACCCTGGAGAATAGCTCTCTGACCTTGTTTCCATGCTGGGGGTGAGGGTAGAAGTGGTCTCAGAGCCTTTCTCAAACGAAAGACTTCTCTGGCAGAGTCACAGTCACAGTGTAAATCCATCCTAGCTCTCTCTATTGGGGGTGGGAGTGGGTGAGTGTGGGGAAGATGGTGCAGAGAGGCATAGTCTCGAGTCATCATGGAAGCTAGCTGAGTTCCCTACTTTCACTTCTATTTAGAGCAATCATGCCTCACTTCTGTTTAGTTACTTGATTAATTAAATAGCCTGGATCAGGGCCTGTCCATTTGTCCATCCAGCACCCTTTGTTTTAAATGACAATCTTTTTGAGAGTCTTTTCCCAAGGCCCTTGAACCATGAGACGGGTTTTTCTCTTGTCATACCCACAGGAACCAGCGTTAATGATCCATGTGATCTGGCTTGGAGCCTGGCAAGGCTGGATAGTTAGTTTCAGCCCCACCATAACAGAGTCCTGGTAAATGAAGAGGTTTAGGTCGAATTTTAGAGGATTCATTCTTCTGCAGGAGATCATGTGCTGCCGTAGCAAACACCTTCCTCAGCCTCTGGCAGGTGGTGGATGCCTGGGGCTTGATGGTGTGTTATTTCTGGACAACTGGGCAAATCCAGCCAGGCTGAGCCTGCATTCCTCCTTGTGCTCCTGCAACCTCCCTGGCCCAGAGAGAGGCCTCTCCTGTTTGCACCACCTTTCCTCAAGCTCTGTGTATCGCCTGTGTCCATTGAGGGCCGAGCGTTGCTCAGTGGAGCTTAACTGAGAGGTCTTCCTGAGCAAGAGAAGCCCATGTTCTCCATTCTTCTCTGGCAGGAGTGAATGGTGGTTCTGGGGACTTCGCCTTGTACTGTCCTCTACACACACAGGAAGTGCTCAAGCTGTTCTGCGAGACCTGTGATGTGCTCACATGCCACAGCTGCCTCATGGTGGAACACAAAGAACACAGGTGGGGCTGGCTGCCCGAAGAGTGTTGGGAGGGCTCTGGGCTCCCTACTTGTGAGAGCGCTGGGCTCCCGGTGCATCAAAATCCTCTCTCTGCCCAAGCTAACCTTGGGTTGAAGTTTTTCTCTGCTTCTGTTGTGGGGCTTCTCTGGAGAGGCCTAAAGGGCCAAGAGCCTGCAGTATCTCTGACTTTCCCTAGATAATCCCAACCTCCCTGGGCCTGGCTGAGACAACGCATTGTGGGGATTCTTGCTTGACTGGCATGCTCAGAGTAAGACAACGCCCTCTTCAGCTTTTTCTCTGCCTCCTCCTCTAGGTGCAGACATCTTGAAGAAGTTTTGCAAAACCAGAGGATGCTTCTGGAAAGTGTGACTACACAGGTGGCTCATAAGAAATCCAGTCTACAGACATCTGCAAAGCAAATTGAGGACAGGTAGCACAGGCTAGCCCCTGGCCAGTGCTGGGAATGCTCTGTTCCTTCACATCTTGGATCCTAATACAAGGCTATCAGATGTAGTACTTATTAAGAGGATGTGCCATTAAGCAGATGTGGGCATATGTCCCAGAAGGCATATGTCCCGACCTTAGAGGTCTCAGGGCCAGGGAAAGGGCTTCGGGTCATCACTGGGTAAATGGGACCAAGCTAGGTCAGGATGATCAGAGTGAATCTGGGCCAAACCGAAAGTGGCCATGAAATAACCAGGAGTAGGTGCTTGAGAATGAGAGTACAGAGTAGATACTGAGGCAGAGAGTGCTGTTTATCAGGAGGGTGCAACAAGTCAGTGGCAGTCTGCCTTTTGTTACCCCTTTCTCAGTGTTTTCTGTATAAATCTGCAAATGATAAGAAATCATCTGTATTTTATGTAGGAAGAGGAATTAGTAGATATTGAGAGCTCATCATGTGGCAGGCACTGGTTCGGCATCATACATGCATTATTCTGTTCAGTTCTTATAATTCTGTGAGTCAGGGGTTATCTCCACTTTGCTAATGAGGAGACTGACGTTCAGAGAGGTTAGGTGACTTGCCTGAGATCACACAGCTAGTCAGTGACTGAGCTGGGTTTGGAAGCTAGGTCTGTGTGACTTCAAAGCCCATGTTCTTTTTTTTTTTTTACAACTTTAATGAGATATAACTTACATACCATAAAATTGCCCTTTTAAAATGCACAATTCAGTGTTTTTTAGTAGATTCATAGAGTTGTGCAACCATTATTACTGTCTACTTTTAGAACATCTTATCACCCCAAAAAGAAATCACATACACATTAGCAGTCACTCCCCATTCCCCCCAACACCCCCAGCCCTTGGCAACCACTATTCTACTTTCTGTCTCTGCCCATGCTCTTTTTACTGCATGGCACTGTTCAGTGGAGCATCCTCCTTTTTAAGACAGCAAATTACATGAAGTAATACCCATACTCACTCTCTCTGTCCTGCCCCTAGTGCTGTGTGAACTGGTGAGCTCTGAGTTGACCTGGGTGTGGACCTGAGGTTTACCTAGAGAAAAGCGGGTTGAACTTTGTGCCATTGGCCCACTTAGGTCAAGTGGGATGGGTTGTACAAAGGGTGGGATGGTAGAGGAAGGTTATGGTATCTTTATATTTAGTCCCTGCTGGGCCCTGATCTCAATAGGCAGCCTCCAAGTTGTTGGCTCTTATGTTGCTGTCTCTAGGCCCTCATAGGTTTGGAGGGAAGGGATCACCATGCTCTGTCCCATCCTGTTTACAGGATTTTTGAGGTGAAGCATCAGCACAGGAAGGTGGAAAACCAGATCAAAATGGCCAAGATGGTTCTGATGAATGAGCTGAACAAACAGGCCAACGGGCTCATAGAGGAGTTGGAGGTATATGTGGACAGATAATTCAGATGGATGGGTTCTGCGCTCTCACTGGCTCGGAAACCAGGCACATATCAAACTAGTCTTAGGGCTCAGAGCTGCCTGCACTGGAATTCAGATGTGCAGTTTCCATAGCTCTCTGCTGCTCCCTATGTCTTAAAATGTCCAGTCTGATTTTGGGAGGGTGGCTCATTAATGGGGCTGGAAAATCAGTTCAAACTCCCATCAATGCTGTGGCTCTAAGGCAGCTGCCTTCCTGGACTGTGCAGGGTTATAGCCTTGGAAGAGAGTCATGAAACAAGTTATGCCCAAGAGAGGTAGACAGTCATTCATTCATCACCCATTCCATATTTGCACTCTTATCTACCCACCGTCCTTCCTTCCCTTCCTCCATCCCTCAGCTGCCCATGGCAGCACTTTGTCCTGCTCTCCTCCTCTCAGCGTGCAGTCTCATCTGATTCCATCAGTGTTCATACTGATACAGGCCACCAGACTTCCCAAGCAGGTGGACTGCAGTCCAAGAATAGGATCAGAGATTCTATCTTCTCTCTCCATACCCAGGGCATTACTAATGAGAGAAAGCGGAAGCTGGAGCAGCAGTTACAGAGCATCATGGTCCTCAACCGTCAGTTTGAGCATGTGCAGAATTTCATCAATTGGGCTGTCTGCAGCAAAACCAGTGTCCCTTTCCTTTTCAGCAAAGAGCTGGTAAGAAGAACTCCAACTCCTCAATCACTGCTTTTAGTAAGTGTTAGTAAGTGTAACCCTTTTAGTAAGGGTTAGTAAGTGAATGCCATATTTTACCAAACCTCACAGTGCAAAGGACCCAGGTGCTAAAATGGTCCTGCCTTCCTCCAGGCTACTCAGCTGGGAAATTCTATAATTCTTTGTCTTAGGTGATGGATTTAGGCATTATCCTGGACACTAGCAGTGTGCTGGACATCCCATAGAAAGTTATTTGGGTCTAAATGGGGGGCTAAGACGAAAGGAGGAGTTGAGGATTTGAAATGTTGGACTTGGGAGGATGGTGATGCTCAGGAGAAGGAGCAAGAATTTTGAAAGAAGTTGATGGGGTTTATATTTAGATACGTTGAATCTAAGATGCCTGTAGGGCATCTAAAAGGAGATGTCTAAAGTCTGTTTTGATAGATAGGGTTGGAAGTCAGAAGGAAAGTCAGGGTTGGAAATAGAGGTATGGGAGTCACTGGGATATCTGTGGTCTCACTTGGGAAGAGTCTGTGGACTCCTCCTGAGAGGGCTGCCAGGCAAGTGATATCCTGAGGGAGAATTACAAATCATTTGAGGCCTGGAAGAGATAAGAATGTAGGGGTTCCAGAAGCCTCGATAAGAGGAAGGGGATCAACGGAGGGAAGGAGGGGGAAGAAGGATGTGAAGATACTAAAGTGCGAGGAAATGAGCATATGGGGGAGGGCTAGAGGCTAAAGAGTTATGGCTTTGAGCCCTTCAACCTGTGACGACATGTGAGGGACAGGGAGTTGTCATTCAGGTGCAAGATGCCCAAAGAAATGACCTTTGGTGCTGCTGTCAGATTGTGTTTCAGATGCAGCGATTGCTGGAGACAAATTGTAACACAGATCCTGGCTCCCCTTGGAGTATCAGATTCACCTGGGAGCCTAACTTCTGGACCAAGCAGCTGGCTTCCCTTGGTGAGGCAGGGCCCACCCTGTGGGCTTTTACATAATTGCTAAGAACGAATAGAGAGCATCTGCTTAGCTTACTGGATAGGTCAGCATATGCCTGAGAGAGAGAGATTGAGAGAGAGAGAGAGAGAGAACTCCCTGAGACTGCCAGAAGTCATGGAGTTATTTAGCAAATGTTTTTCGTTTTTCGGAGGGGTTGGGGGGGTGGGTTGGAGTGGGGGGGGGTGGTAGTGCCCAGCTTAAATAGCAATGGCAATACAGGACTTTTGTAACAGGACCAGTTGAAATCTGAGCTTTCCATTCTGCATGATTGTCCCTGTTACCTTGGTTTCATTGCTGGAGAGGAGACAAGACAGTGGTCCTGCTCTCCAGAATGCTGTATGGCAGTGCAGGGGAACCTGTGTCTCTGTGGTCATACAAGGGTATATGTGTGCATGGGCACAAACAGGGGATCTCAGCAACAGTGAGAGAGAGGGAAAGAGTGAGAATGTCACGATGTCACACACACCCTTTGGAGTTGAGATGTAGGTGGGTAATTCATGACCTTGTGTATTTTCCTTCCCTGCTGCAATAATTTGCTGGCACTCAGTCTTTAGGCAGAATGTTGACACAGGAAGTTGTGCCTACGTTGACAACCTAATGGTAGGTTTGTTAAACTAATGGCCAACTACTGCCTTCACATGGGTTGTTAATCTCATTGAAAGTTTTTTGAACTTGACAGAGTGATGAATGATATTTAGGTTTATTTTTTGCTGCCCTCTCCCTTTTGATTTAATTCAACAGACCTTTGGTGGGCCCTTGCTCTGGGTCAGGCCCCTATGCACTAAAGGACCAAGGTGAATAAAACACACCTCCTGCCCTCAAGTTGTTCGGTCTTCCCCTAAGTAAGCCTCATCAAAACGATGAGCTGGAGAGGCCATTAGACTAAGCTAACAATAGGTATCATCTACTCATGCATGAGGGCCTGGGGACCTCAGGACAGTGCTGATGCCTGGCACTGAGCTGGCACTGGAGCTTCCCCATTCTCTTCCTTCCTACTTGCCCCACACACAGTTCCTCAGACCCGTATTGAAGACTTGCTCATTTGTCCTGGGGATGACTCTCTTTCCTTTGCTACTTTCCAGCACACTCCTTCTCCACCCCTAACATTGATTTTTTTTTCTGAGTCTCTGTTAAAAACTGAGTGGGTGCTATTTGAGGGAGCCCATGATTTCTCTAGGGGATACAAATAGAGTCAGGACTGAGTATCTGGTGAATACTGAGCTAATTTCTCAAATGAGCCAGGCCCCCAAAGCAGGTCCATATAGGTTCTATTGCTGGCAGTATTCTAGATGGAGTCTTGGAGATCAGGGGTTGAATTTCTTAATCTCTGCACCTGGTACAGTTTTGTTGTCTTTTGGTCGGAGCAGGAGATAGCAGAGGGGGAACAACCACAGATTACCTTTGGAAACACTCTCTATGCTGAATTTCCAGGCTGTATAACTACTGAAGGTGGACAGCTGTCCCGGGCAGATACTCCTGCTTATGGAGGCTTACAGGGACCATCATCCTTTTATCAAAGCCGCCAGTCCCCAGTGGCTCAGCAAGAGACTCTTAGCCACCCCTCTCACAAGTTCCAGTCTCCAGCACTGTGTTCCTCGTCTGTGTGCTGCTCCCACTGCTCCCCAGTCTCACCTTCCCTCAAATGCCAGGTCCCCCCACCCAGCATACACCCAGCGCACAACTTTAGGCAGCCCTCTGAGGTGGTACCCCAACAACTGGGGTCACTGCAGTGTTCCACCCTGCTGCCCAGGGAGAAAGAGCCGCCTTGCACTCCTCATCCGCCAAAGCTGCTGCAGCCCTGGCTGGATACCCAGCCCCCCGTGGAGCAGGAGAGCACATCCCAGCGGCTGGGGCAGCAGCTCTCTACCCAGCCGGTGTGCATCGTACCTCCGCAGGATGTTCAGCAAGGAGCCCATGCCCAACCCACCTTACAGACACCCTCTATCCAAGTCCAGTTCGGCCACCACCAGAAGCTAAAGCTTAGCCACTTCCAGCAGCAGCCACAGCAGCAGTTGCCGCCTCCCCCACCTCTGCCACCTCCACCCCAGCAGCAGCCACCCCCACCTCTACCTCCATCCCAGCATCTGGCTCCCAGTCAGCATGAGAGCCCTCCTGGGCCTGCCTGTTCCCAGAACGTGGACATAATGCACCACAAGTTTGAGCTGGAGGAAATGCAGAAGGACCTGGAGCTTCTGCTTCAGGCTCAACAGCCCAGCCTGCAACTGAGTCAGACCAAATCGCCTCAGCATCTTCAGCAAACCATTGTGGGCCAGATCAACTACATCGTGAGGCAGCCAGCACCCGTGCAGTCCCAGAGTCAGGAGGACGCCGTGCAGGTGAGCCTAAGGGTGGCTTGGGGCACGTAGTCTCTCCATCCTAGGATTGCTCAGGGAACACAGCCTTCCCAATCACAGGGTGGCACAGAACACAGTTTCTTCCTCTTAGGGTGGCCTTGAGCTCAGCCCTCACATTTAAAGACTGCCCTGGCCTCCACTGCCCATCTCAGGAAAGCTCCAGAGAACATAATACCTAGTCCCAACATAGAGCTGGGCTTAGTACTCTCCAGCATGGCCTGGCTTAACTCTGTCCTCCCAGGTGACACTAGGGACCTTGCCCATGAATGGAACCTTCTGAGCTGTGCTGTACTCCTGCCAGTGCTGGGGCAGAAGGGAGGCTGTCTCTTCTCTTTGTAACTTCCTCATATCCCTTGCTGGAACTTATGGATCTCAGACAAGGGGTAGGGGAGAGCTTAAGGAGTGGAGGGAGGGTACACATTAGATGCTTGTGGGCAGCATCTTTATAACACTGCACAGATATAGACTTAAAATTTATTTCAAGCCTGTTAAGGCTAGGTATGTTTTATATGCACTGTGTCATTTATCCTATCAACAACGTTGTTAAGTAGGCATTACCATCTGTATTTTATAGGTGCAGAAGTGGAGGTCAGAGAGGGCAAGCAGTCTGCCTAGAGATCATAAAACACTGAGTGTAGAGCCAAGACTTGGAGCCAGGCCTGCTGACTCTAATGCCGCAGAAGAGGCCTTGTTCTCTCCCTAGGGGGATGATGAATGCCACTCCTCTCTTTTCTCAGCTGAAAGCCAATTGAAGAGGTACAATTTGTACCTCTGGGATCTTTGCTGCATTCCACATCTTCATTCTTAACCCTTGCTTTTTTTTTTCCCAGAGCTTCCTGTTCCAGCCCCTTCCTCTACCCCCTCTCCCTTTTCCCATAGTGGTGTCTCCTTTATTTATTTATTTTTTTTATTATTTTCTTTTATTATTTTTTTTAATTAATTTATTTTTTCCCCCAAAGCCCCAGTAGATAGTTGCATGTCCTAGCTGCACATCCTTCTAGTTGCTGTATATGGGATGCAGCCTCAGCATGGCCAGAGAAGCGGTGTGTCTGTGCGCGCCCGGGATCCGCCCGGGCCGCCAGTAGTGGAGCGCGCGCACTTAACCACTAAGCCACGGGGCCGGCCCATGGTGTCTCCTTTAAATTTGTAATCACATTTATATCTTCAAAGCAGCTCTATAGACTTTTATTTTATTACAAAATATAAGGCCTCACATTTATGCTTTAGCACTGATAACTTCAGACCATGCTTTGAATGTCTTTCTCTGAGGCTCAGTTCCTTTGAGGGGATATGAAATAATCCCCATGATGGCAAAGAGGGGTCTAGGGTTCATAGAGGACCACAAACTAAATGTAAGTCAAAACTGTTGTGATTGCTAAGGTGAATATGACAGAGTTGGCTCAGAATTCTCAGTTTGGGTTCTATCCTAAGATGATCATATTGGGATATAGTTTTAGGAAGAGTTTAGATAAGAGTATCTTTCTTTTTGAAAAATTTTTAGGCAGTTCACAATGTGTAGGTGGTGACAATGGGCAGTGTGGGGTGGGCATTAGCCCTTGCTGCTGCTGCTGTTACTCTCTGCAGCGAAACCCACCCAAGTTCTTATTTTCTTCTCCAGGCTACAGATGAGCCCCCAGCATCTGAAGGCCCAAAGCCAGCTCTCCCTCTTGACAAGAATACTGCTGCTACCTTGCCCCAGGCGTCTGGGGAAGAAACCCCTCACAGTGTCCCCCCACTGGACAGCACCATCCAGCACTCCTCTCCAAATGTCGTGAGAAAGGTACTAACGGAGCCTGCTTTCCCCGACCGCATGGGACCCACTGCGAGCCAAGACCCCAGGGACCTGGATGAGGATGAAGGGGTAGTGGGAGGAGTGTCCCTGTTCCATCCCTGGATGTTACACGGCCCTGACTCATGCCTTCTGTCCTAATGAGTCGGCAACATAGGTCCTCCTCCACCCTCATTTCCACTCCCACATACACACTTAAAGTGAGACCAGCTGGGCTTCCTGTGGAGTGGATGGGGAAAGGGAAAGAGCGCCAGTTTATTGAACAATTCTTCTGTGCCTGCAGCTATGCATGGTACTTCACAAGCATTATCTCACTTAACCTTCCCAACAGTTTTGTGAGGTGGGCATCCCCATTTTATAGCTAAGGAAGCTAAAGTCCGGAGCCCTATGGTTAGTAGATGAGAGGGCTGAGGTTTATTTAAAAGAAGGTCTGTCAGAATCCAAAGCCTGAAGTTTTTCCTCTCTGCAATGAAAATGGGGAAAATATTTTATGTAGCCCCACAACCCAAAGTTGATTGGCCTTAGAATTTGGATCAGTGGAATTTGTTGGGCGGGAGGTCTGTAGGGCTGTCCTGCAGAAGTAGCTGAGCATCTAGGGGCAATGGGATCTCTTGAAGATAAGCTATTGGAGGCCTTCCTGTCCACCCACCTACCTGCTTGCTGGAAGTGTTCATTTACTCTGGCAGTAACCCAGAACCCCACACTCCTCAGCTGTCCTACTCTTACCCCTGCCCATCACTCCCACCTGTCATCTTCGTAGCTAGAACCTCAGCACTGTGCCGTGCCCTCCACCCAGCACTCTCTGGGTCTCTTGGCCTGTTCGACTTACCCTGTTGCCATCTCTAGTCTTGTACCGTCAGCCCTCCTGGTGCCTCCACTCAGCCCTGTACTTGAAGCTCTGTCAGCTATTCTGTACGCTTCCAGCCTGCACACTCAGCCCTGCAGCATCCCTCTGGCCCTGCAGCCCCACTTCCAGTGGTTATTCTGTGTACTCACCCCTCACCATCTTTCCCCCAGCAGCACCATTGCCATATATGTCTTAGATCAGTCTATCTCAGGGATTCTTGAGAAGAGAGTTTAGAAAAGTAGGGAATGGCAAAAATGAAATGTTAACTTGGAAATCCCTGGTGACTCTTGAAGTCTGGGCAGGCCTCTAGTATTAGTGGCTTTTGTCTATGCCTGTCCTCTCCTACCTTTTGAAAATGGTTTGGCCTAGGAGCGATAAGGGTGCTGTAAATAGGCCCTTTGTGGCTCTTAGGGATTTGACTTCTTATACCTGGGCCAGCTACCTATCCATCCAAACATTTATTTATTCACTCAATGTTCAGAACCTATATATTAATCTCCTAGTATGTGCCAAATATTTTGTTAGGTGCCAGGCACATATCGGTGAGTAAGATAGTCTCACATTGGAGCTTACAGTCCAGTGGGAGAGAGAGTTAACCAGGCAACAACAATCAAGTGTGATGAAGTACTGTGCTAGTCACTGGGGTGTGGCAGGAGCACCTGACCCTGGGAGAAGGACTGTTCACAGAAGACTTCCTAGACGACATGCTGTTAAGCTGAGATTTGAAGAAGAAGTTAGGCTAGTGAAGGGGCCGGGTTGTGGGGAGCAGGGGTAGAATACATAGTCAAAGGGAATGGCAAGTAGGAAGGTCCAGAAGTGAGAGAAAGCCTGGGGCACTTAGCGGGTTGCAGATAATGTGGCTTGGTAGGATCATGAGATGTACTGGGGAACAGGAGTGATTGAAACCAGAGCGGTTGGAAGGCCTTGTAAATTATGCTCTGGAGTTGGGATTCAGTCTTGGGGGTTAGGAGGAGTGAATGAAGGATTTCCAGCAAGGAGGGACATGGTTTGAATTAAATTTTAGAAAGATCACTTTAGCTGTGGTAAGGGAGACCAAAATAGTACAGAGGAGAAATAGGAGAGGTTGAATGAAATCAGTAATGATGGGAATAGAGAGGAAGCAAGGGCTTTCAGAGTTCAGACCACAGGAGCTTTTGGACTTGGAGTCTCATTGGTGATGGGAAGTGAGGGAGAGAAAGTCCTTTGGCTTGACACCCAGGTCTGTCTTCTTCCACGGGGTTGCCATTCACTGAGATGGGAGCATGGGAAGAAGAGCATATTTTGAGGGCTGAAAAGTTAAGTTTAAGTTTTAAATTGTTGATGTTCTCCTGTGGAAGCTACATGAGAAGATGACTGAAGGCAGCCAGCTCCAGATGTCAGTAGTTGAGAAGGAAGCACGGGAATTACCAGTGCTCACGTGGTAGTGGAAGCCAGGCAGAAAACACCACTGCTTGTTTAATGTCTCAATTCTGTTCCTATGCCCAGTACAGAGGAAGGGAGGTGAGCCACACGCAAGCATGGAGTCTCTGCTGCCTGTGGGGGTGGCCCACAAGGCTCTCTGAGCAGCAAGGGGATGCTGCCCTCCTGTGTGGCTGCAGGTTGGCAGCGGGGTTAGTGAAGGTCCTGGGAATTCTAACTTCTCATTTTGAGCTGCTCCTGGCCCTTATTAACCTCAGCTCATACAGAAGTTTGGAGGGGCAGGTGGCCTGGCATTTTTCACTTGTTTTCTAGGCTTCTTCATGGCCTGGACTCCCAGGAAAAGGAACCTTAATGTTGCCATCCTGGCCCAGAGGAAGCTTTGGGTCTACTTGACTGACCAAGGTCTGGTTACACATGAAGTTACTGAAATATGAAAAAAGGCTTTCTTTTTGAGAGAATTCATTGCCTTGAAGCTGGGATTGGGCAGCATGGAGGGTGTGAAGACTGAGGCTATCAAACAACATTTTGAGCATTTTTCTACTTTTTTCCATAGGTTTTTACATGAATTATTCCATTTTATCTCTTTGTTTATCCTAGAAATACTATGAGGAAACCACTTTCTTATTCCCTTTTGAAAGATGTGGAAACTGAGACACAGAGAGGTTAAGTGACCCACCTAAGAGTTATACAGCTGACTGTTGGCAATGTTAGGACCAGAGTACGGGTTCCTGACTCAACCCTGTGTTCAATGAGTGGGTTAAATTGCCTCTCTTTGTGCACTCCATTTGGCCTCTTACTTGCTGGATTTTCCTGTCTTTACAATATCTGACGTAGCCTGAGGCCTTGCTGGGGAGAGTTCTTAGGACCCAGCCTACTTTAGTCTTGGTTATCTTTGTCTAGTAAAGGTGTTTTAGCCTCCAGCCCACTCCTCGGCTTGTGATGGCCTGTGAGAGCCAGGGAAGTCAGAAGTCTATCTGAAGGTCACAGACCAGAGGAACCTGTGGCACCAGGCACCTTTCTGTGTGTCCACAGAGACTCATTCATGCTCTGAGCTGCTCACCGGCCACAAGGAAGACTTTTGTTACAGCAGAGCAGCTGTGCACAAGTACCCAGGAGTTGGTACTAAATGAGCTGATGGTGAAAACAGATTGCTGCTGAAAATGAGACGTGAGAGTTTGAGCATTGGTTTTCTAGTGGCTTGAGCTCTGCAATCTCAGGAGCAGCTTATCCAACTACCCTCCCTGTGTCCAACAGTATGTTTTTGAATGAATTTTGACATTTGTCTGGCACTACCTATTGCCTAAGCTTCCTAATCTTGGTTTAGCCACTCTGAAGAAAGACTGGTAACAACTCTACAACAGAACTTCCTTACGTCCCAAGGGAAACGGGAAGACATTTTGATGGCTTCATTTCACACTTCTGAACTAGTTGACTGCTGAAAAATACACACACTCTTCCTCAAAGCTCCCATGGAATCAAGGCTGTAGGCATCACAGAGAGCCCTATCTGAGCCCCAATTCACCTGCAAGAGGGACCTCTCTTCTGCTCATAATGTAGCCCAGATCTTCAACGGAGGATTTTAAGCCCACCAGGATGCTGCTTATGGCTTGAGAGGAGTCTTGAGATGTATTTTCAGTAAATGATACTGAAGTACTAGGCATTCCTGTGGTCTAGATTATTAAGAGGGATGCAGAAGAGTAAAAGATAATGACTCAGATGAATAGCATTTATACCATTATCAAAGCACTTTGATGCCTAAGCTCTTAATTTGATTTTTACAACTCAGTGAGATTTCTATTAGCCTGTGGAGGAGAAAATTAAAGCCCAGAGATGGGAAATGACTTGCTTAAACTTGTACTGTAAGCCTTGGCATAAGTAAGGAAATCTAGGTCTCCTGCCTTCATAGTCTCCAAATCCACTGCAATGGACCAGATCATGCGTTCTCAACCCCAGCAATGATCTTTTTCCTCATAGCCTGGCCCTGACAGCAGCTTTTGCTCAGAACGTTCCCAGGGCCTGGTGAGGTTTTCTCAGAGCACAGCCTGTCTCCTGATCAGCAGATGCAGAACTGTACAGAGATCTGCTCTGTCCTACTCAGGAATCAAGCCAAACACTCCGCAGGTCTGGCTCCCTGAATTTTGCACCTTTGAGGAAGCCTGTCTCCTTAGTTCTAGCCTGATTTCATGCACAGACCAAACCCAAGATCTTTGTCTCGGTCTCCTGGTCCATGAGAAACAGGTCCTTGCTACTAGGCCTTAAATTTCCTTACCCTGGCCTGGCCAAAATACCTCTAGCCTAATGCTCCTGAGTATCCAAGGTTTGGGTTTTGAGGGCTCCACTCATTCTGGCTTTCACTTCAGGTTTGTTGGACTCCACTTATTCCTTTCCTCTTCCTTCCACCTCAGACTCTGGGATCCTCTTTGCTTTTTCTGTCTTCCCTGGATCATCAGGGCACGGGGCACTCTTCACTTCTTCTCTCTTCACCCGCCCATGAACATTTTCCCATTTCACTCTGGTCAGGTAGCATATATCAGCATATCAGAAGAGCCTTAATTCGTTCAAGAGCTGTACATTGAGCTAGATGAGTACTCAGTGTCAATAAGAGCAACAACTTCTCTATTAAAAATCAAATTGTGAAACCACTTGCCGGAAAAGTTAGTTCCTTCCTCAGCTATCTGATTCAGTTGTTTCAAGATCTACTACTGTTAAACTAGTCTGCCTAATC